GAACTTGCGCAAGCACTCCACAGTCTCTTGACGATGCATCATAGACGCCACCGTGGATCGTTGCTGGAAGTCAAAGAGACAGGACTGTGAGCCCCCTGCCGGACCCTCTGCCCCTCACTATCGCCCCAGCACAGTGGCCACATGCTCAGCCAAGCCACAGCTGCTCCAAGATAAAATGAAGTCATAGATGTGAAAACACTTATACAATAAAAGCACTACCCCAAACTCCAAGTTATGTAATGACAATAATCTGAACATGAAAACACCACTGGTAATTGATACTCAATCAGGGTGCCTGAGAGAGCATGCTAATCTTCCTGGGGAGACGGAGGCTATAGGAAGGGAGAGCATCCTGTGCGCTGTGATCCTCACGCAGTTACCCCTCCAACAACTGTTTAGTGAGCACCAACTGCGTTCCAGATTCTGAGCAGTAAGAGAACAGGCAGGGTTCCTGCTCTACCTACAGCGAACTTTCATTCCTTCTAAGAGCTCCTCTCACCAACCCCCTACAACAAGGTCCTACATGAAGCTGTGATCTGAGAAGCTAAGGATCCTTGCCTTGAAGCATCAATTCCTTTCATCACTTTGGATGGGAATTTTCTTCAGTGTATTACTGCTAACTTCCCTCCTCCTTAAACAGAGTCCACCGGACATGATACACATTTCCCTAATGACTCAGGGTCAGCAATTCAAGCATCAGTTACGACATAATATAATACAGAGATTTCCTCAGGGGCTGCTGAGATACACAGGACACTGGAGGGTGGGGCCCACAAAAATGACCCCCAGAACATCAAATGTCCCCAATTCTTGAGACCCCATTTTAAGCTGTTCACCCCCTCACTCTGCTGTTGCCCGCCAGCCAGACTGCTAGAAAAAGAAATCCTACCACATGCAGCCTGGCGCCCACGCCCCACAGGGCCACCCTGCAACCCTGCCCCTCTTTCCTAGCCATTTCCTTTCTTCGTTTTCAAAGCAACTCTCCCAATCTTGTCTGCCTTTCCCAACTCTTGTATTTCACCTCCCCCTCCAAAGTATAAACTTCTCCACAAAGAGAAGTAACAGATTCTCAAGCAAGATTCCTTCAACTTCAGCCCCACAAGCTGATTTTCACCCCCACAAGCTGATTTTCACCCCCACCACTACCGCAACCTGACGGTCTCAGAAGCAGCATCTCTCATGTGCTGACCTTCTGACCTGGGCTCGGAAGCCCCTCTCTCTTTTTGCTACTCAAACACTGGCTCCTCAATTAGCCAATATTTTTAACTCCTGGACTATATTCTTCTCTGTTGTCTATACATTACAGTCAAGCCCCTCTGTAAACAAAATCTTCAACAAAATTTACTCATCTGTCTCATCCATCTTCTCTAAGGAGTGCCATGTCTTTCTCCCTTCACCTCCATTCATTCCTCACCTCAGTGAAACCAGGCTTTGGTCTCTCTCCTTCCACTCCCTCTATCAGTGAAATAAGAAAACAATGGCTTCTAACTGGTCAGAGCCATTGGGCTCTTACCCATCGTTATCACGGACTCTCTGAAGCATCTGATTACTGGTGCTCCCTTACTGAGACCTCCTGTTTCTTAGGATCTCCTGATCCTGCTTCTACCATGGAAGTTCTGAATCTCAGTCCCCTCTGCTGCTCCTCTGCTACTAAGTGCTGGTGGCCACCTCTTCTCTCACAGCAGCCCCCAGTAAGAACTCGATCAGCACAGAAACAACCTCATTTCTACAGCCGCAACACCACCTACACAGAAATGACTACAACCTATTTCCAGTTCTAAACCTCTTTTCCATATTTCGAACTACCCACTGGCTGTCTCCAGCAGGAGGTCCTCAGATATCACACTTAACGTGTCTGAAACTAAAATCTTTTCTCACCATCTGGCTCCCCCTCTGGGTCAGTGAATGGTACAACCCTCCACCCAGCTACCAACTCAAAACTCCGTAGATCCCTCCCTCTCCTTCACTCCCCAAGTCCAGCAGGTCACTAAACCCTTTTTAACCTATCTCCTAAATCTCTCTCAAATTTGCCCACTCCCTGCCACACCGCCCACTCTCCTATCAGTACCCTTACTGAGACCTCACCTGGAATTACTCAGTCATGACCCTTCCTGAGCTTTCTGCCCCTACCTCTTTCCTCTTCAATTTCATTCTCTACACAGCTTTCAAAGTGATTTTTCTTAATTGCATATTTCATTCTCTCTTTAAAATTCTTAAATGGTTTCCTATGCTTTCAGAATAAAATCCAAACTCCTTATGCAGAAACTTGCATATAATGGAATCATTTGGGCTTCATTCTCTTGTATTCCTGTAGTCCTATCTTCATCTACAACCAAACTACTTAATGCTGGCCCATGCTAGCCTCTGTCTGCAGGCTATCACCCTGGGGAACTCCCTCCCAGTCATCTGCCAAGAACCAGGGCAGAGCTCACCTCCTCCATGCAGCCTTCTGTAATCCCACTGCCCACAGGAGACAGCAAGAGATACTACACACTCATTAGGTCCTTTTACGTACTTGTCACATTGCAGAATGGCTGCCTGTTTCAGTGCCTGTCTCCCCAGATACTCTGAGATCTCTGAGGGAAGGGCCTGTGCCTCATTCACCTTTGTATCTCCTGCACCCACACAGGGACTGGCACCAAAGAGGCAATCAGTAAACATGAGAAAGAACAAATAAACAAATGCATCATGGTTGTCAGGAGGCCTAACTGTAACAGACCATCTTATCTGAAAAAAGGTATTTCAGCTGTTAGAACTGCACATGAAAACAGAGTATGTCGACCCCTATTGACAGCCTAAGGGGCTCTTCTAGGGGGAGCTTTATGGCTGAACTTCAGGGGGCTCTTTTCCCCTGCTCAGAGGCCCCTTTTGTTCATTTGTTGGGTGTTGGTCACATTCCCAGTAGAGCTGAAGTCTGAATATGTCCTAAGCCTGACAATTCACTGTGGGTTCTGCCAGCTGCTTTCTATCATCAGCTTGAGTCTGCAAGGGTCAACCCAAGCCCTCATTCAAGATCCAAACTACGTCACACCTGACAAGTGAGGGAGGGAGCAATAATAGGGAGAGGTCTGTTAGCTCCATTTGCCTCCCCAACTCCTTCCTGGTGAAGTTTGCTGCCCCTGGGCCCCATCCAGACCCCTTCCCTCTCTGCTAGGTCCTGGCTCAGGGCCCAAAATGATTATTCTCCACTCATAAGAAGAGGGTAAGGAGGGTGCTACGGGTATATCGAGAGCTGACATCCCTGATATCCTTGATCGCGGGCAAGACACTTACGCAGACCCATGGGTGCTTCAGAGCCTGGTCAGCTGTGATACGCTTTGCGGGGTTTATGGTCAGCATCTGGTTGATCAAGTTCTTGGCTTCAGGCGTCACCGTGTCCCACTCTGGTGATGGGAACTAAGGAGTGGGAACAGGGGAAGAAAGGATGTGAAGTTTGTGAAACTCACACCCTGAAAGGTAGGCTGTCTTCATCCCATCTCCTATAATTGGGATACCTGTGCTACCTAAAGCTCTCCAGCAGGGAGTGAGGAAGCCCCTGGATATTCTGTGTCAACTTAAAGACTGGGAAAGAAAAACAGAACAATCACGGTTAAAATGCCAGAACATCAGATCAGGGGACTCCTACTAGGAGGGGACTCTGACTGGGAGGGGACTCCGACATCTTCTGATTCAACTCCATCTCTCTCCTGGGGTGAAACAGTGGCTCTACGCTGTGCCCAAGGCCCCACTGTAGTGGAGGGAGCTGCGGGACTTCTCGTCCCCATGCTATGCAGCACACCACACGGCCACGCCATTCTTCGCAAATAACAGACCAAAAGGCTTCACTGGACTCTGTGATTTTACAGCTCCAAATATGGCTGTGCAAAAAAGCTGCTTCTTGGGACAGGTGGTGGCAAGAATTGAGACCTATATGCCCATCCCTGGGTCCCCAGAGTCCCCTGACATTCCGCATACTTGTAACACACTAAACATGTCCCTTCCCTTGGACAGAGCCTGAGGGGCAGAAGCAAACCAGTCCTTACATCATAGGCTCCAGCCTTGATCTGCTGATACAGCTTGTGCTGATCCTCATCCCAGAAGGGAGGGTAGCCAACCAGGAGGATATACAGGATGACCCCTACAAGACAGGACACAGGTCACTGTAATCAGTCACCTGCTTTGCTGTGGAACCAAGAAAGGCCACACAGGGCTCAGAGCCACTCAGAAAGTCAAGGGCCACACCAGGGGTAGAAGTGGGTGCCAGCCAATAATGCTGTGCTACCAGCCCCTCCTGCTCTGCTTCACTCCCCGTGTCACTAAGCCACGTCAGGGATTTCTTTATGCACAACCCACCCTCCAAGGCATGGGCAAATCCTTCTTCAAGAAGGATGCAACATCACCTAGGAAGTATGTGGTTGGGGGAGGAGAGTGTGATGGAACAGCCATCCCAGAGGCCCTAGAGCAAACACCGTGATTTCACATACACCAGACACCTGTGGGACCCGCAAGGACTAGCAATGCCTCTTTCTTGCCATCGCTGGAAGTCAAAGAGCTGAGCGTGTGGAATGGGCTTACCGCAGGCCCAGATATCCACAGGTTTTCCATAGGGATCTTTCCTCAAGACCTCAGGGGACAAGTAACCTGGGGTGCCAGCAAAACCTGTAGCAGAAGAGACAGCGGAGGCACACTGAACCCACTTTCTCTCTCATTAAATCCACAGCAGCAACTTCCCCCAAGTCCCTCCTCACTCCTGTCGCTTTTGCAACATAAGCTCTCAGCACACGGGCAGCAAGAGATGACAGGCTGGGCTTCTTGGAGTGCCTGGAATCTAAATCAGAGGGCAAGTCTGTGTGTCTACCAGGAACTCCTCCTCCCCAGAGGCAGTAAGAACGCAGTGCTGACAGCAGCGAGACTCACTGTACTGAGTCACGGAGGGCCAGTGGGGGGGCTCTGCACCCTCCCCTCCGCCAGTTTCGGAGGAGGCCAGGACCATTAAGGGTCTGGCTTGTAGTTCTGAAAGAGGAAGGCAGATCAGGAAGAGGAGGAAGGGCGGGGGCCGCATTCCAGGAAGACAGGGTCACTCTTACCAAACCAAGCCTGCTGCTCTCCCTGTACTTCGATGGCTAGGCCAAAGTCAGCCAGCTTGACGGCGGCACCCTTGCATTTACTCGCCAGCAGCAGGTTCTCAGGCTGTATAAGGAAAAGAGACAACCTTGTGAGGCACCCACCCCGCTGCCCAGAGGGAGCCTCGTTTGGGCCCTCGCAGTACTATCACCAGGCACCAGGTGGCGCCAATGCTTCACAAGCGAGAGGCAAAGGGGCATCTGGGTAGTACCTTCAGGTCCCGGTGGACGATGTCATGCTGGTGGATGTGGTTAACACTCTCCAGAATCTGATGTATACAGTGGCTGCAAAAGCAGAAGGAGAAGAAAGATCACTGCAGGGTTCAATCATCTATGACCACATGCCGTGGACTAAAGCACTTAACTCTGGGTCACAGATTTACAGAGAATCACTGAATGACCAAGCTAGAACCCTGGACTTTGGACATCATCTGTTCAACTTATTTTACAGAAGAGGAAACTGAGACCCAAGCAGATTGAGTGGTATGTCCAGGGTCTCCCACTAGATAATAGCAAAGGACAAACTAGAAGAGGGTCCACTATGCCTCTTTGGACTGTGAAGGCCCAACATAACCAGTTTGTTTCCAAGAAACTGCGGGATACCCCAGACTCCTGAGAAAGAGAGGCATCCAACCCCTTCCTTCTTTCTCTTTCCCCCACAGTAAGTCTGTTCTTGGAGAAGATGCTTGTGGTGGCAACCTAGGAAGAACAGTTCAACTAAGTCTAAGTTGTTTTGGGGGTGTGTACACTCATTCACTTATTTACACATGTATAGAGCACCTATAGGCACTGTGCTTGGCACCACACAAGCTGTAAAGACGACCCTGCCTGCCCTGTTTATCATCGAGTACACAGGTACCATCAGGAAACAGTATATTTAAGAGGGTTCCAAACAGGCACCTGAGGAGCATTTCTGACAATGATTCTGCAAAGAAGACGACAAACTAACCTAGAGTCACATTCAGCTGCTGATTCTTGAATCAGGCTGTCCACCTTCCAAACCATCCTGCCACACCTGCAGTCAGACTCCTGGCGGGGTGTGCTGGTAGTCTAGAGCACTGATGAAAACTGAGGGATGATTGTGGCCCCCAGGGGACATCTGGCAGTGCCTGGAGACATCGCTGGTTGTCACAACTGAGGGGGAAGGTGCCTCTGGCATCTAGCAGGTAGAGGCCAGGGATGCTTCTAAACCTACAATGCACAGGAGGGGCCCTCACAACAAAAGGTTATCCGGCCCCACATGCCAGCAATGCTGAGGCTGAGGAAGCCGGGCCTAGAGAATGGAGCAGGTACTGTCAAGTGTGTGGAGTGGGTGCTAGGCTGGTGACCTGGACCTATTATTCCTTCCTCTAAAATCTGCTGCTGGGGCTTCCATCAGAGCCAAGGGGTCTTGCTGGGCTCTTGGAGACTGAGGCTCAGGCCTCCCTAAAGGACACAGTCCAAGAGTAGGCTAAAGAGACTTTAAGACTGAGCTGAAGAGGCGAGTCTCCACAGAAATGTATAATTAGAACAGAGCCAAGCTAGCAGGGAGAGCCTTCTGGCCAAAAATGGCAAAAGTGCGAACTGTCCCAGCAGAGCCAGGCCAAGCCCACTGGTACAGTCACCCGCCCCAGCTCTCCCTCCTCCCCGCCAGGCTCCCTGAGCTATCACCGCCTCCTCCCGCCCCAGAGCCTGGTCCTCCCCTGCTGGCACTGGAATTCATCTCCCACTTGAGAATTTATCCTGAGGCTGAAGCATCTGAAGTTGATCAGCAAACACTGGCCTCTCAAGGTTGAGAAATCTGTGAGGAAGCGGTGCTCCCCCCGCCCAGAGGAGAGGCAGCCAGTGCTGCCACATATGCCTGAGAATCTGTAGGCAGGACGATCAAAATCAGGGTGTAAGGACATTACCCTCAGAGAAAACCCGGGGCCGGGGAGGAGCCGAGGCAGGAAAGGCAGGCCAAACAAGCGCCCAAGAGCTGTGGTGCGGGAGGAATTCTGCTGTGTCACACGGAGGAGCTGCCAGGGCTTCCTGGAGGGCTGAGGGCTGGGGGCTGAGGGGTGTGGCCAGGGAATGGTTCTCCAGCCTGAGGGGCGCCCCATGGGGGCTGGTCATGATGGTCAAGAGACAAGGTGACACAGGCTGAAATCTCCCAAAAAGTTTCCTGGTTGGATCATGACGTTTATACTCGCTCGGCACACAAACCATGTTTTCTCCATCTCTGGATCACACCTTGTACGCAGTAGGATTTGTCAAAGAAAAGCTGGGATAGGGCGGGACCTGGGTATGCCTGTGAGTACACAGTGGTGCAAGGAAAAGGTATTTCTGGTGTGACAGGGTAAAGGAGATCTGTAAGAGCTTTGCAGAAAAACTGATCTGGGAGTGTTGAATTTTTAACTCCTGATATCGCCCACAGGATGTAGCTCTAGAGAATTCTGTCCAGATGAGAGCTCTTCTGATCTTCCCCAAAAACTATTCAACCAGGCAGAATTCCTGGCCCCCTGAAGTAGTCAAGACGCACACTTACACAGGGCCCTCATCTCACCTGGCATCAGCTTCACTGTAGTACTCTCTGGCCACAATGTCTTCGAACAGCTCCCCACCGGTAACCCTGCAACCAACAGACAGAGGGAGTCAGAGGAGGCAGGTCAGTTGGCCAACCCCAGCATTTAACAGGTAACAGGTCACACACTGTAGGACAACTTTTACAGAAGAGTCAACTCTACGTGCATTTCATCTGAGAGCCCAGAGCACACGCAATCCTTCAATGACACGGGGCTTCTCCCTGGGATAGCGCGGGCCCGCCCTCCCTCCCTCCTGCACATTTGTTTCTATAACCTATAGATTAGCTAATACTCTGGTAAAGATGAACATACAGGCATCTAAGAGAAAACAATGGATCCACTCAAACAGTCCATAGCTTTACTTGAGACCAATATAAATATTAAGATACAGCTGCCCAAGGAGGACAGATTTTCTACTTGAAGTTGAAGAATCATGAGACCAAGGACACAGAGGTCCAACCCTGAAAATACCAGAGAGCCATTTCCAGGAGGTAAAGAGCCACTTTTAAGATATTAAACCACAACCAATGGGAGTCCAACTTATGACAAATAAAAGGTACCTACTATTTCCCAGCATTTTTAAGGTCACGCACTAAGGACAACACACCAAGAAACAAGAAAGGAGCATCCGCACAAGGTATGCTGCTGAATAGAAATGCACGATTAGCGCCACCCCGGGGGTCAGAGCCCTGGGGAGATACTGAGGGAGCCATGGGACACTCGGCCACCTGCCCGAGACCAGAGGAAGTTCAAAATCAAACCCCTCCCCTGGGGCAAAGGAGAGGGACCCTCGGCAGAAGCTGAAGATCCAGTAAACTCTTGGGCCAGCTGGAGGGAAAGAACCCCCCACCCTCAGAGAGGGGCACTTACAGGTCAAACACGAGGTAGTGAAACCCTTCTTCGGAAATACTGTCATGGAGGCGTACTGCAAGAGAGGAGATGGGGACAGAGATTAACAGAGAGAAAACCCGGAAATCCTCCTCCTCTCCTCCTCGGCCACCCCAGCCCTGCCCCATCCTGTCAGCCCCACAGGCTCTCCCCTGAAGGGGCAGCATGCCCAGCACCCCCAGTCCAAGGTGATGCAGCCATGGAGCGGGGGCGACCAGAGCCCGGGTCCAGTGCTCTGGTCACCACCTCAGACCACCTCAGACCACCTCAGATGTGGGCAAAAGACAGAAGCTTGCGACTAAGAAGTAAGACAAGATGGAGAAAAATAGGAACCTTTTTCCCAGAGGGGCTGATCCTAAAAAAAAAGGTGGTCCTGGGATATGATGCATGAGGGTGCAACGCAGAGCAAGAAGCACCTGGGGACGCTGGCCACAGGGAGACAGACAATGACAAGATGGGAGAGCCCGGGACCCTGGAGTAAACGGGAACAGAAGAATTAGTGGAAAAGGCAGAGTCCAGCAGGAGGGCACGGGGAGCGAGGGTGGTGGATGTTGAGCACAGGAGGAAACACAGGTTCTGACAACAACAACAATAACCGTTCATTAAGCGCTTACAATGTGCCAGGCCTCGTGTCAGGCTCTTTCTGTACATTACTTATGTGACAAGCATTTATTGGGTGCCTACTGTGTGCCGGACCCTGTGTTTGACAGTGGGATTCAGGAAGGACACAGCGCCTACCTTCAAGGAGTTCATTATCCCTCATGACCTTCCTGCAGGCAGTATTGCTGCCATTCTACAGAGGGGGAGGCTGGAGGCTCAGGGACATTCAGCACCTTGCCCAAGGCCAAAGATGTGGTGGGCCCAGATGTGAACCCAGCTCTTTCTGACTCCAAAGACTGGTCTATACCACTGTTTCCTATGAGAAATACGGAGGAGCCAATATACTCAGGCAACAAAGCAATGGAGCCGGGAGAGAAACTGCTCACGAATGGGCCTACAACAGCATCAAAGACAGGTCCAGGAGGCCACTGCATGGAGCAGACTAAGGTAACTTACCAACTACAAGGAAAGGCTGGCGGGCAAAAATCCCTTCCCACTCCCTGCCTCCAGAGCTTTTAGGCCAAAAACCAACCTGGTGTTTTCTGAGGTCTCCTCTTCAAGCTCCTGCCCACAAAGCCACCTCTGGGTTCAATGCCAACCTCTGAGCATCATTCGAAGTACACTGTCCGACTCGGTGCTTTGGCTGACTGTCCGGCTGTTCCTGTCCCTTCCTTCGCCTGCGCTCTCTTGATGAGGAATCCCTGTTCCCAAGGGCTCCCTCGGTTTGACCATCACTCCAACCCTCAGCAGCTCCAGAAGTACCAAGCCAACCAGGGAAGTTCTTGGATACAAAGAAACCACCATGTCTCTTCAGTGGTGGCCCCAACTAGCTCAGAAACGACAGCTTCCATCTCCAGCGTCAGAGTGTTTCATCAGGGCTGAGGCACGTCCCTACACTCCCTCCCAACCAAAGCAAGATCAGCAGAACGTGAAACACAGGCACTCAGACATCACTAGAGCCCCGTGGTTTTCCTCACTTGACAAATGAGGACTCGGGCCTGCCAGGGCTAGAACCAGGGCCTGACAATTGTTTACGCTTCATATTGCCGACCTTATTGGATCTGATCTGGTTATTCAACCCCAAATTCCACCCGAACTCAGTATTTCTGAGGTTTACCAATGGGATCAAAGGCAGGTGGTACTTCTAAAATCCCTCCTCCTCCAAAGGTTCTCTCCTGTACTTGGGCAAACAAGCTCACACTTCTCTAGGCCTGTAGGTGACAGAAGGAAGGAGGTACAGCCAGACCCCTGCCTCCCTCCCACCCTAACTAACTCAGACACACTCAAGTCAGCTCCCCCGGAGCCCTGCCACCCTCCCTCCTCACTTGTGCTTTTCTGGCTGGAGTCGGTGCCCCACGCTGAGTCCTGCTGCAGCTGCTGCTCCCTCGCTTCCAAAAGGACTTTCCATTTAATTAAAAATTTGCTATTAAAAAGCATTAAAGTGTGTAACACAAATAATCCCCTGGAAATCAGCTGTCCCAGAAGCTAAAGACCAGCTTCATTAGGAAGGTGACTAACAGCAGCAAGATGGTGAGTTAACAGGGCAGCAGGTAGACGCTAACTGCCACTCCCAGGGGAGTCCTGCTGCCTAGCCCTGCCACCACCCCCCGCCCTGCTCCCAGGCCTGCCCCCGCCAGCCCAGCACAGCAAAAAGGGCAAGCACCCACGCCTCTGCCCAGACAGGGAGTCACTGGCACTTGCTCTTCTCCAGGAAGGCCACACACAGAGCCCAGGTGGGAGGAAGCTGGGAGGGCAATCAGGAGAGAGCAGCAGCAGAGGAAGATGAATCCTCCCAGGCCACCCAGCCCAGAGATGGGCTTTGATCTGTGCCGCAGGGCAAGGCACCGCCAAGACAAGGAGGGACAGGTGTGGAAGGCTCTGTCTCTGAGCAAGACTGCTATCCACCCCTTGTAAAGAAAATTAACAGGGAATTGAGAACAAGCAGAGAAACCTGACTGCACCACTCTAAGTGCCAACCTAGCAGATTCTTGATAATAATGATCCGAATCATAATCACTAACACTTGGTTGAGCTGCTTTCAATGTGCTAGGCATTGTGCCAAGCGCTTTACACATGCTATTTTATTGAACCCTTGCGTTAACTCTGCAAGGTAGGTACTTCTATTACCTCCATCTAACAGGAGAGGAAACTGAGGCTTCAAAAGAAACTCACCCAAGGTTACACTGAGTGGCAGAACCGAGACTTGAAGCCAAAGCAAAGTGGCATCAAGATCCCTGATATCATAGAACTACCTGCTAAGGAGTCACTTTCTCCATCCTCTTAGGCACAGGAGCTCCAACTTGTCCCCACTATCCCTGGCCACTATGATTCGCTCTACAGTGTCCACTGGGCATCTTCCCCAAAGTGGGCGTGGCCGTACATGCCCCAGGTCTGGCTGTGAAGGGAAACCCAGCCCTGTCACTGCGTGGCTTCCAGGGGAATAGGGGAGACGGGCTTTAAAACAGCACTCACACAAATATGTAACCAAGCACTACTGCACTGAGGGCTGTCAGGGAGAAGCAAAGAATGCTGCGGATGCCTGGGAAAAAACAGTCCAGCACCCAGCCCATTTCACAGCCACGAGAGGGTACGAAGGCCAAGGAGGGCCAGACCAAGTCTACAGACAGGAAGATCTGGGACAAGGAGTACAAAGCACTTACCAAAATTTGATAAACCTGATAATTGATTATTGTTTTTTACAAACTGTGGAAGGAAGGATAGGCAAAAAAAAATGACCTAAATACTTTTACTTGATGTTTCATACCTTCAAGGACTGACAAGCCACAACCCAAATTTAGATGTGGCCAGCTCTCTGGTTATGAAAGGCCTGCCATTGTTTTTTTGTTTTTTGTCTCTAAAGTCTACAGCACCCTGTTCCCACGCAATCTCCCACCCAAGTACCAACCAGGTCTGACTCTGCTTAGCTTCCGAAATCAGACGTGTTCAGAGTGGATGGCCAAAGGCAATCACAACCTAAATTTTATGGCTATTTTCAATTCTTTAAAAACCACCCAATAATATGCCACATTTTAACTAACAAACTTTGGTCAAAAAAGCACTGAAAAAGTGTCACTGTTCATGTCCACAAGAAGGACACAGTGGGATGAGGTCCTGTCATCCCAGGGGCTGGTGAGGGATGAAGGCTGCCCCTCAGGAGCAGGTGGGCAGGGATTTGGAAGCTGCTCAGTCATGATCCAATGTTTTCTTCTTTTTCTTTGCAACTGTTTTTGCTACACTTACTGTTAGCTAAATGGGTCCTGGGCCCAAGGGAAAAGGCAGTCTGGCTTGAATAACTTATGAACAGAGTTGGGGCTGGGAGTTGAGCAGAGATCATTTCTGGGAGCTGGCATCTCCATTTCCATCATTTTCATTTATTTCCTAGGCCTCCTTTGCTCACTGGATCCTCTCACAACTCCACAGAGAGGCAAAGATGACAAAACAGAAGCACAGGTGGGCAAAATCCTGTGTCTTAAGTCACAGCTACCAACCAGCAAATCCCAGATTCGAGCCTGGAGGACTTGACACCCGAGCCACAGACCTTTGCTTCTCCACGTATGGTTCACAGATCAGCAGGGTAAGCATCACCAGGAGACGTGAGGAAGCTCAGGTCCATCCCAGACCTACTGAACCAGAATCTGAATTTCAACACGATCCCTAGGTGATTTACGAGCACATGAAAGTTTGAGAAGCGCTGCTCTAAACCACAATGCTAGACTGTGATCGAAACTGCTGGGGCAGCTCAGCACGAAGGAAGACAGAGTCTATTCATTAGAAGAACTGAGAGCAGGGAGCAAGCAGATCACAGGCAGAAGTCACTTCATTCAGACTTTAGATGATTAGCACTACTGCCGTTTCCTCCTCTCAACTCCACACCTCTGGCCACTCTCCCAGGGCTGTTCTAGGTTCTGCAGTATGCCTCATAACCATCAGGCTTTAAAAAAAAAAAAAAACAGACTTTATTTTTTAGAGCAATTTGGGTTCATAGCAAAACTAAGAGGAAAGTACAGAGAGCTCCCACCTCCCCCACCCCCCCGCCACAGCCTCCACCATGATCAGCATTCCCCACCAGAGCAGCACATTTGTTACAGCTGATGAACCTACAATAACACATCATTATCACCCAGAGTCCATGGTTCACATTAGGGTTCACTCTCCCAACAGGCTTTCAACTCCTGGGGCAGAGTATCTATTAGGGAAGAAACTGGGATACCTGGATCCTTGTACCAAATACCATTCTGAATTCAAGTGCCTCTGAGTCTGACAGTAACCAGAGGCTGACCCATGTGCTCTCTGCTCTCAGCTTCCTCAACTCCGTACCACCCCTGGGCTGGTCCACTTACATCTCTGTGGGATGGAGTCAGAGGCTCGAGCCTAAAGGGCCACAGTTCCGAAGGACGGAGCAGTGGAGAGACGAGAGGGATAGCGAATTAGGAGGACAAAACTGCCTCCTCTCCTGCCACAAGCCAGGTCAGGATCCATGGTAACCCTTGCCTCCTGGGCCCGCAGCTCCCCCACACCTCAAGGAGAAGTCCTGGTTCCCACTGGAAGCCACAGCCTGGCCAGCCTCGTCTCCCAGGACCCTGTTGACTCACCCTTCCCTCTCCCTGCCCTTGACTCCAGAATAGGGACTCAGACCAACACCACTCAGGACCTGGGAACAATCATGAAATGGAAGCACAGTTCTAGGCAATCAAATGCCAACAAAGTGAGTGCGCCTTGCCTAGCCTCCCCTGGGTGGTGCTGCCTCCCTAACAGAGCAGATGGCTGGGGTAGATGGTCCCTCCATCTGCCTTAGTTCTGAGCTAGGGGCAGGTGATTAAAAAAAAAAAAAAGAGGGCTACCAAACTAAGTAAAGTCTAAAAGGTCAGAATTTTAAAAAAAAATTATATATATATAAAGCTAGGACATTTTTCAGCTAGAATCCCATTCGTATCCTTTCTGGTTGATTCTCAACTGTCTTCATCCTACACTGACCCTTCCATGGTCAGTCACACTCAGGTTGCAGGTAATGCAGATGTGGTTCCGCCTCCTGCATCATCTACCCCACCCCTTGTTCTCCTCCCTCTATGGGGACCATTCATCACTGCACTAGAGTTGGTCACAAGGTGCATAAGGAAAGGAAGTTGCTGTCCTTGGACCCTCAGACCCAGGACTGAACATCAACATGCTTCTGTGCTTGTGGATGGCTTGAGTCACCCATATGCTTCTCCCTCCTGTTCTGGAACTTCTAGGTCAGAGGTCACAAGTTCACAAAGCAGACAGGGACCAGGTAGGCAGTACAAACGTGCGATAACAGGGAGTGGCCAGCAGGCTAAGGGGGCAGCCACTGCCCAGACCCCAGCTGATTCCGGCCACGCACAGATGTAGGATCAGCAGAGCCAAGCCTCCTGATTCGAAAGATTGGGAAACAGAATTTGCTTCAAAACGTGAAGGCACGTTTTTAAATACTGGCAAATAATAAAAATATTTTTAAACCACTTAGCTAGCCAAACAAAACAGGCCTGAATTTGTGACTGCTGTTCTAGGTGCTCCACTCTGTTGTCTCTCTCCTATTCAAGGTACCACTTTGGTCCCCACCGTGCTGTTTCTGGGTGAGGGTCTAACTTCAGAGACCACGCAGGAGCTCCGGCAGTTCCAAGCCCAGCACCCGTGGGCTGAGAGGGGTTGGCTCCGTGGAACAGGCCCGGCAGCAGGCACAGCACAGCACCAGCTGTACCAATCTGCTGCGGCTGTAATCCAAGCTGCTGACTGCCATCTATAAAGCCCTGCACGGCTGCAGTTCTGGTTACCTCAGAGCTCCTCTCCCCTCGGGCTGCAGTGCGACCTCGGCTCTCCCACGTAAGAGCTCGCGGTGAACACTCCAGCTCGAGATCTGGGAAGCCAGAGGCCGAGGAGCCTTGGAGAAAGCATCGAGCTTCGGCAAGTCGTCCCACAGCCCTGCCCACCAACTGAACAGAGTGGGCGGCCTCCTGGGCACCGTGGAAGCCCCAGTATTAAGGCCATGCCTGAGGAGCACAGACAACGCACTGTCCTCGATGATGATCGGGGCTCTCAGGGAAAAACCCAAGAGATGCTCTCTGCTCTGCCTCAAGTCCAGACCAGGGTTTCTGCTCAGACACCACAGCCAGCCCAGTTTCTGTCTCCTCTGCAAGAAGCACCGAATCAGGGCCAAGGCTTTTGGCAAAGACGATTTCAGCTGAACAATGTAAAACTGAGCTGGAGTGGGTTGTGGCAGGCAAACCTCCTCAGGCTTTAGAACAACCAACAATGTGCTCTTGTCCCCCAAGTCAGGGTGGGAGCAGGGAGAAATCCTCTTAATGTTTTCTCCTTCTCCGTCCCAGTGGCTCCTGCCATCCCTTCTCCAGAGAAGCCAGGCGGGTGGGCAGCTTGCTTTTCTGGCTCCGGGAACACAAACGGGAGTGCCATGGAAACCCCCAGAGTGTGCACGACACCGCAACAGGAACAAAACTCTTTCAAGTCCAGAAACAAAATCCGGACCCTTTCATGATGACCGCGGAAGGCCCCTGGTGAGGGACGCTGGCAGGCTACTAGCCCTGAGCCTCACATGCCGAGGACCTGGACTGCAGCCCAAAGACGGAAGGAGAGAAGAAAGGGAGTCTGAAACATATTCCGGTATCTCCCACCCCAGCCCTGAGATGGCACCACAGGGATGGAGACAGTCAGGTCTCTAAACTAGAACACCTCAGAATTCTGAGCAAGACATGGCTGCTATTCCACTCAGGCAAAGAAAGACACCAGGCAAAGGCCCAGGGACAGACGTGGTTCCCAACACAAAAACAGTGGATCTCTGATCTCTCCACCTTCTACAAAATGCCCAAGAAATACTCTGCACAATGGCACTTACCAATGTTTGGATGTTTCAAAAGTCGGCATATCCGGGCCTCACGTTCTAGTTTCTGGTGATCTAAAAGCAGAAGAGAGCAAACAAAAGCCATCAAACACCCATTCTATTTGTGGCTACCTGGCTACTCATACATCTTCAATTCTTAGGCACCAACTATGCCCTTTTTACAATTGCTAAATTAATGCAGCAAATCATGGCAATCCTGGAGACAAGTACCACAACCTTTCCCTGATAAAGAAGTAAGTGCCCCAGGAAAGCTCCCCGAGCTAGTGTGTGGCCGAGCCAGGATCTGAATCCAAGTCTTAAACTAAAATCTGGTGCTCCTTCCATGACAGCAGGGATTTCTCTGGGCCAGGGTGTCCATAATCTCTTCCTTGTTGGAAATACTAATAATGACCAAGTTTTACTGAACACCTACTACATGACCAGATACTGTGCTAGGAGTTTTGCATATATTTTCTAATTTAGCCTTCATGGCAACCTTGAAACATAATGATGCTGACAGTGAAGATGATGATGATGATACTGATGACTTGAAAAAATAATAGCCAGCATTTATAGAGCACATACTTCTACACCAGGCAGACACATCTTTTAATTTAGTCCCATAACAACTCTGTGAGGTTGGTACTATTATGATGCCCATTTTGCAGAAATTCTGCTTCTCCTCAGGAGCCTCGTGGCCACCCACTGCTAGGAGCTCTGACCTCTGGGCACTCAGGCTCTGGGGTTACTCTGCTTTGGTGAAATGACCAGAACGCAACAGCCCCCAGATCTAAGCAAGCAGCATTGGTCAGTTCCTTCCACAGGAAGGCAGAGCTCCAGAAACAGAAGGACAGGCTATTATTACTCAAAGCAAGGTGGCCTAGAAGCCCTCCCCACGCTGCCTCCCTCTCTCTCCTTGCTGGAATCCCACCAGTCACCTCCTTCACAAAGTCTTCCCTGTTCCTCCAGGTAGACTGTGACTTCTCTCCCCCATGACCCACCCACCCCCATCTCCCATGGTATCACTTATCATTTTCACATCATACATTATATCAATTATCTCCAAAGGGTAGGACCTCTCCTTGGTGCTCCCTAGAGTTCCTTCCATATCAGAGGCTTAATAACAGTTTATGAATAACATCGACAGTAGTAGTAAAACTACTATTTACTAAGCATTTACTATACGCCAGCCAGAGGCATGGATTATCTTATCACATCCTTGTAGAAACCCCGTGAAGGGGGAAGTCTGATTAGCTGCATTACATTACAAAGGAGGAAACTGAGGCTTAAAACGTTAAAGTAACCTGCCCAAGGTCACAGAGATAGGCAGCAGACGCAAGTGGTCCAAGCCTAGAGCCATCTTTCTTCAGCGCTAGGCTATGATGACGGGATAGAGAAAAGTGAGAGCATCAGGTAAAGACTCCAAGCTTTGAGGGGCACAGTCCAGTTCACCCCAGCTTCTCCAGACCCAGGCAGGAGGCTTCACACCCATACCTGCCAAGCAATTCCAGCCTCGCCTGGTAGGGGCTTCTGCCCATCCCACCTCTACCTAAATAGCAAAGAGCCTCTGTAAAGCCTCCCATAATGTTCATAACCCTCACAACCATCCTATCAGAAAGGTGATTCGATTGTCCCCATTTCACAGATGATGGAACAGGCCCAGAGAAGTTAAATAACTTGCCAAGGTCCTACAGCAGGAAAGAGATAGAACTAGGATTTCAAGCCCAGGCTGGTCTGAGCTAACACAGGGATTACAGACTAGAAGGAATTCATATTTATTGTTTCACCAACCACCTTCAGCTTTGTCCTAAACTTTTCCTCCAGGGACAGCTCTGCTCTGTGGAAGAAGGAGGTGGGGACAGGCAGAGATTAGTTCCTGCTGCCCAGCTAATCCATCCCAGCTGCCCAAAGATCTGGGTCAGGCCTTCCTTCCCACCCTCAAGTTCGGTATGACCACTGACCAGGTGCAGCCAGGAGAACCCTAGGTAATCCCACACTGCCTGGGATCCCTTAGTCCCAGGACCTTCAGAAGGTCGGGTAGTTGAGGAAGCAGCACCAGCCCTGCCTGGTGGCAAGAGAGCTTGCTTCTTCCAGATCTGGTGGGAGGATGTCAGGGTAATCCCACCTTCCTCCCCGCCCCTGGATATGGGATGGAGGTACCAAGCTAGCCATCCCAAAGCAGCAGACCCACAGGCCCTCTCTCTGACCATTCACCTCACTCTCCAACCCACAACTCTCAGGCTTGGCTGCCCGGGCAGGTGCAGGAGAAGAGCATCTTTCGATGCGGAGGTAGCAGCTAGGGGTAAGGCCCAGAAGATTAATGTTTATCTCCTCCCTTAAGTCTCTTACTGGCTAACGGTTACAGTTCCACAACAGCAACAGCACTAAAAATAAGGGTCCTCTGGCTTTACCAGTGACTCAGAGTGGGAAGAGAAGAGACACAGATTCACACTCCCAGCTCCTCGAAGGAGCTGCCCAGGGTCCAGAGTCCTTGACAGGGTCACTTAGTGCGACCCTATCTCCAAGGAGTTGAGCCCCACATTCCATGTGAGGCCCATGTCTTCGCTGAAGCCAGGGCTGCACCTCAGTCCTTGCTCTGAACCTTAGTCATGGAGTCTGGTCACTGACACAACAGTTTTGGAGTCAGATGGAGTCCCAGAGCTGCCACATTGGGTGAGTTATTAAACTCATCTGAGCCTCATCCATTCATTCAAAAAATATTTATTGAAGCCTACTATGTGACAGGTGCTGTTCTAGGTGCTGGGGATACGGCAGGGAACAAAACAGACAGAAATCCCCACCCTCACTGACCTGATATTCTGGTGGGCCGAGTCAGGGGAGGGACAGACAGTAACAACTGGACAGCACGTCAGATGTCGTGGCAAGTGCAACACAGGGGGAAAAAAAACAGGGAAAGCAGAGACTGCACACTTGCACACTTAAACAGGTAGTCAGGGAAGGCCTCAGCAAGGGGGTGACATTTGATTAGAACCCAAAGGAGGAGAAAGAGTGAGCCAGGCACACATCGTGGGAAAGGGTTTCCTCATTTCTAACATGGAGGCAGTGGTATCTGTGGGCTAAACGATGTGTTTGGGTGAATGCTCAGCACAGTGCCTGGAACACAGGGAGAGCCTCCTCTTCAAGGGCCAGTGGTAAGACAGACGAGGCTTCCCAGGCTGGACTCGTGGCCATAGCCATCTCCAGAGACACTGAAGAGAGTCGGACCCACTCCCCCCAGCCTGGGCCGTCACAGGGTCCACGGCAGGCCAACTGAGCCCTCTCCAATGTGGCCTTCCTGGGGGTGGGGGTGTTCCTCCCTTTGGGGCGGGGCCCACCTGTGTCTACAGCCTGCAGGTAAAGGTTACCAACAGGGCTCCACAGAGAGAAGAGTCCAGGGATCCCTCACCTTCCTCGGCCTTGCTGGCTGTGGCACCCTGCCATCCCGAGGTTCTGCTCAATGAGCCGTGTGGTTTCTGCCTACCATGCTCTCCCTACCTCCCTACTCCGCGCACAGCCGGCCAGCACCCTGGCCTCTCCAGCTGTTATCTCTTGTCCCTTTCCCCCTCCCTTCCTGTCCTGTTGTCCCCTCCAGGGCTGCTCCAGGTCTGGGAAAAAGCAGAGGCCTCCCCGCCAGCAGCAGCGGTGTTTCAGGAACAAGTATGGTACGGAGAGCATCTTTCCGCTGCAACGCCTGTCCTGTAAACTCAGCATCCTCAACCCCAAAACGGGTGGGGCCACCGCACTGGCTTGGTCCACAGTGGTAGGTCCAGGCCTCGGCTTGGCATCCCAAGGTGGTCACACACCAGCAGGAGCCAGTGCTCCTGCCACAAAGGTGGCATTCTCCCTTGAGACACCCCTCCTTCCGGTGACGGCTGAGCTTGTCATTCTAAGGGAACAGCCCAGGCCTCCCAAGGCTGACCCTCTTCCCACCCACCTTTCGACTGGGCTCGTCCCCCGCCCCCTCACACAGCCCAGCCCCCCCCTTCCTGTTTGACAACAGCCACTTCCCGCTTTTGCACAGGGCCACTTCCTGCCTGCCTGTGAGCTACTGCCATGGAGAGACCCACCCCTGCCGGCCTTCAGCCCAGCTCCAACCACAGCCCTCTGCAAGGCTTGCCCCCTCAAGAGCTGAGGTGGCAACAGGAGCAGAAAGCAGAAGCAGCCGTTATCAAGGTCCCCTTCAGGCCTTCCTAACGCCCCACCCAGGGCAGGGCCAGGCCCTGGGACTCGAGCATCCCTGGAGGCCTCGCCTCTCCCGCCTTCTGCCCAAGCACTTCGAGCCTTGGTCCAGGGCATCACCAAGGCCAGACCCCCTGGACAAGAAGGGCAGCAATGAGTGATCAGAGGTGCCAAGGGAGGCAGAAAAGAGGACACAGACGGTGAGGAGGCTTGGCGGCACAGGAGAGGCGGAGCTAGAAACACCTCTCCCCTAGGACCCCAGGAGAGATGCCCACTCCAAATTCACTTTCCTCCCCCAACAGGATGGGGGGCACAGGGAGAGCTGGTCAGATTCTCCACGGCCCTGCAGAGACACGCCGGCTGATTTAGTGCCACTTCCCTAAAACCATGAATGCCAGCACTAGCTTCAAATAAGCTCCTGCCACCGTCTAAACACACGACCCACTGTGAGTGGGAAAGCACACAGAGTCCTCCTCTGGCTATGGGGACCCCTCCCCAAGTTCCAATCTCAATGACACCCTTGACTTTTCAATGAGTATTTCAAAGGTCTGTGCCTGTGGCCCCAACACAGATCGGGACAAGCTTCCCACAGCCCCATTGATTTCAGATGCTCAGTATGGGCGTCTCCTCTTGCTGCCTTTCCAAGCGCCCCCCTCCTGGCCCCCTGAGGCATCACTCTGAGGAACAGAAATGAGGGCAGCCTAGGGATTTGGTGTCATAATCCACACTCCCCAGCTGCTTATAAACAGCCCCTGGCCTTGGGCACTGACCAGTGGGAATCCCAAGCCACAATCCCATTGACCGACCTCACCCTGACACTGCAAGGCCACATCCCTTCCTCTCTGAATCTCACTCTAAAGGTGCAAAGTCCTCAATTAAGAGCAAAGTCTGGGCAT